AATAATATGCTTGAGTGGTTAGAGAAGCAGCTGGAATCACAGACTAGTTCCTTGCGATAAATCTGTTCATGAAACTATTAGGATTGGACCCTTTCATCATTCTGCTGTTTTTCCCTCCTTAGTTTCAGATTCCAAAGTCAAGCCAACAAGTAAGTACAATGCTCTTCTGTTTCATTCAGTTTTATATCTAACAGCAATGGATTGAAATAAACAAGGCCAGCTGGAAATGTTTTTGCAATCCAAGACAAAGGACAAAATGGCTTCCTGGCCTCCATTTCCACAGGCAAAAGCAAACAGACGGTGAACTTGTATCAACAAGAGCGCTGGATGGCATCCTCCATAGCAGCGGTCCCCAACCTTGGGCCTCCAGATGTTCTTGGACTTCAACTCCCAGAAATTCTGGGCAGCAGAGGTGGTGGTGAAGGCTTCTGGGAGTTGTAGTCCAAGAGCATCTGGAGGCCCAAGGTTGGGGACCACTGCTCCATAGGACCAGAAGCAACAGTTTCTTTAGGGAGCCCTTTGAGAGGCCTTGTGGCACACACAGCTTTGGCCACCAACAGAAGGGCAGGGAGCAGAGATCTCAGGGAGAATGGCTGGGGGGGGGCGCTACCCCAATATCTAGTGCCTTAATTTTTTTCGTTACCTTTTTTTTTATTTCAAAAATATTTAAGATTTGTATTTTTGTTTTGGTTTGGTGTTTTTCTTCAACACTATTCCTCCACTCTGTCTAATGGTAGTGCTGGATAAGAGTTCTGTAGAGAGCACACTCTTTACTACGAATGGACTTCAACAAGTATAGTGAGGAAGGGCTGGGCCCAGATAATACGGTGGATATTCTGGCCAGAATCCAGTGCCAAGACCGATTCCTGATTCAAAGGGTCTGTTCTAGTTAGGACTAGCAACTGGCTTTTAGGTCCATGGGCCCTCCCCGACTGCCAACCAAGCTCTAGATGTGCCTAGTGTTTCTCTACCACTCAGATCACTCCCTCCTGTGGAATGTCATGGCCCAGAAAAGGAGACTGGGCAGGAGTAGCAGTCCATAACTCTTCTGCGTTCCCCTCCAGCCACGTAATGTGGCTCCCAATCTCTTTCCTTCCCTGCTGAACCTGTTTAAATGGAAGAGAACAGAACTCCTTCCCAAGCATATATTCATGAGCCCCTTGAAAAAAATACACCTAGACGTGTTGGCGCTGCGGGCTAAACCGCAGAAGCCTGTGCTGCAGGGTCAGAAGACCAAGCAGTCGTAAGATCGAATCCATGCGACGGAGTGAGCGCTCGTCGCTTGTCCCAGCTCCCGCCAACCTAGTGGTTCGAAAGCATGCAAATGCAAGTAGATAAATAGGGACCACCTCGGTGGGAAGGTAACAGTGTTCTGTGTCTAAGTCGCACTGGCCATGTGACCACGGAAGATTGTCTTCGAACAAACGCTGGCTCTATGGCTTGGAAACGGGGATGAGCACCGCCCCCTAGAGTCAAACACGACTGGACAAAAATTGTCAAGGGGAACCTTTACCTAGACTATCCTCCTGATCTCCACTGCCTCAATCCAAGCTCTGTACAGGCATATGGAAAATACTGTATGAAAACCAGTAGATGAAACAGTCTTCTCCCTCCTGCTGCAGCTCCTGGATGTAAAGCTCCTCCTTCAGAGCCAAAAGGGAGGAAACTGAAAGCGTAGGAAGCCCATTGTAAGCCTTTGGCTCAGAGATCCTTAAAAGCCCGGACACAAGCTTGTGCTTCTGATGCACGGTATAGTACTGGATTCCCAGCGTTGAGCCCTTAGGAAGCCCATTGTAAGCCTTTGGCTCAGAGATCCTTAAAAGCCCGGACACAAGCTTGTGCTTCTGATGCGCAGTATAGTACTGGATTCCCAACCTTGAGCCCTCAGATGTTCTTGGACTCCAGCTCCCAGGAATCCCGGCCAGCACAGCTGGTGGTGAAGGGCTTCAGGGATTTTTAGTCCAATCACATATGGGGATCCAAGGTTTGGAACCACAATGTATAGGATGCATAGGCAACGTGAGCTTAGGGTTAGGGTGTCATGTGATCCGCAGGGCTTGCTTTATCTCTTTTTGGTCTGTTTTGCCAGACGCGCCGCACCTCCACAATAAGTGCAAGAACAGAAGAGCCTGCCCCAGCAATACCTTTGCCTTCAGATTAATCAGTGGTGCAGCCAACGTCGTTGGACCTTCCATGTGTTTTGAGAACACCATGTACGTGTTGTGTAAAACGTTTGGCCCTGTTCTGTGGGTATTTAAGGAAACACTCGTCCATCCTGAGACACTTCCCCTTTAAGGGTGTCATTCTCACCTGGTGTTCATATATTTTGCTGTGTTTGTTCATTGATTAGACTGGGGCATCTCATGTTCTTTTCTCTTTGCCCTTTTTTAACTCCCCAGATTGATGAGCGGCGTGAAAAATAACATTGGTCGAGGTCTAAACATCGCACTTATCAATGGTGAGTTTTTCCAGGGATGAGTAGTTTCTATCATAGCCAGCGTTAACTGTTTTTCTTCTTTCGTTATTGGTCTTTTTTTTCTTTTCTTTCCTTTGCAATGGATAAATCCCCTCCTGTACCAAGCATTCAGCCACAGAATCATAGAACCTGACCGCACTCTGGGATGATCAAAAACAGGTCCTACCCTTCCTCTTTTTGACAAACTTTCAAGAATTTGAAAAGTTCTCTCCTCAGTCTTTTCCTGGAAACATTTATTTCTAGGGGCACTTATAGTAAAAGGAAATTGTAGTAGAGGAGAATTCAGTGCAAGAATAAGAAGCATCTTTCTCTCTCTCTATCTTTCTCCTCGCACGCAAGGCAGCAAAATGTTCCTTGCTATTCTTGGTAAGAATTTTTTTTTCAATTGCAAGAATAGTTTTTGCACAAATGTTAAGCTTTTTTGCACAAAATACAGTGTCTGCTGCCTTGATGCATAGACGTTTGAAAAGTAGAAGCACTGGATGGTTTGCTTGCATCTTTCTGAACCATCAGACCGTCCTTCTGTTATGCTATGTGTGCTCATTTATTATGCTATGTCCATGTGCTTTGCTTCTCAAAGGGAGAAGACATTCATTGTACGCAGAGGCATTTTGCACGAAATACAGGCATGTCAATGCATCAAAGCCTCTTGTCTTGTTCATAAGTTGGAAGCAAGAACTTTCATTGCCCTTAGTGATGTCTTGTCAAGAACAAGCATTCTAGTAAGAATTCTTCACATCCCTGATGGCTTTGTTGTGATGACGCTTGACAAATAGAAGGAACAGAATTTTTTGGCAGGTTAAGAATCGAGATGGGCATTTACCATTGCAAAGCTTGACAAATAGAAGGAACAGAATTTTTTAGTGGGGGGGTCAGGTTAAGGATCGAGATGGGCATTTACCATTACAAAAGGTGTTTGATGCTTCAAAGCTCCACCTCCTCCAGTGGGCACCCACTCAGACACAGTGCCCGGAGGAGCCAAGGCAGGGAAGCCGGGATATTGCCTTTAAATGGGTCCTCACCAGTGCAAGGTAGGGCTAAGCCACTAAACACCTGAGGCAGCAGTAAACAAACTGGCACGAACCACTGGTTTGGCAGTCCATGCCCCTCTCTAGTTAGGATGCATGGTGGGTTCCAAAAATGCCAGAAACACCACTTTGGACAACTCTCTTGTTTGTAGTTACCAATTCACGGAGCTAACATTTCAACATTATTCAGTTCGTGTTCTAAAGCTGATACAGTATTGTCTTTCCATTTGGGTGGCCTGTGTAATAGCCAAAATCCTATTGCTCAGTACAGTAAATCACACTAGTTCCATTCATTCAAATGAGCCTACTCTAATTGTGACTTACTTTAACTTAGTAAGTCACAACTAGAGTAGGCCCATTTGAACTACTGAAACTTACACAGGAGCTGACTCACCAAATCGCCACCGAGTCTATGGGCCAACGCTAGTGTGACTGACTATCTAAGTCACAACTAGAGTAGGCCCATTTGATCTACTGAAACTTAAACAGGAGCTGACTCACCCAATCGCCACCGAGTCTACGGGCCAACTCTAGTGTGACTGACTATGCTAAGGAAAAGAATCTCAGCCATTGGTCCTACTCTGAGCATACAGTATTTGGGCTGATGCAGAATCTAAATGTTGAAACCCTCAAATAAATACCGTCTATGGGCCAACGCTAGTGTGACTGACTATCCTAAGGAAAAGAATCTCAGCCATTGGTCCTACTCTGAGCATACAGTATTTGGGCTGATGCAGAATCTAAATGTTGAACTCCCTCAAATAAATAATACATTCTTTCCTTTTACAATAAAACAAAGCCAATACCTTGCTATCATAACACCTATTCATTTTTTTATGATAGTAAAGTACTGGCTCTGTTTTAACTTAGTAAAACCTAGAGAAAGTTGACCTAGAGAAAGTTGGCATTATATCTGTCGGACACAGTAGAAACTGTCACCGTTCAGGTCTTAATGAATGTTCGGTTGTTTAACACACTAGGTTCTGCAGGAAGAACGAATCAGCTGGCCAAAGTATTGTAGGTACAGTTAATAAAAGGGACATCCTCTAAACGATAATTTGCCACCCTCAGTTACCCATAATGACCTGCTTCCTGTTCATCCATTTATTGAATGTCAGTAAAGACAGTATTTCTTGAAGCTAGCTAGCGATTAGCCATTCATAGAGTTCCCTGGGAAGAGAAAAGTGGCTCTGGGGGAGATTCTGAAATATCCTCCTGCTGCGAGGAAAGAGGCAAAAGACAAGGGTGGCAACCACTGTCACTCTCTTTTTAATTTTTTTTTAAACCCTCTCAATGTCAAATCACAAGGGAGGCAACAGATCCTCTGCTTAGCAACAAGGGCAGAATCAGCAGGGAGGAAGAACAGAGCATAGTGAAGCGGTATAAGGAATAGAGGCATGAAGAATACTCACAGAATTATTTGTTCTTGATGAGTAGGAGGCAGCCTGTCCAGAACCCATTAGAGCAGTCGTTCCCAACCTTGGGCCCACAGATGTTCTTTGA